TTATAAATCGAATTAGTCCGTCAGTTAGATAAAGAAAAACTATTAGACACATATTTCTTATTTTCTAGTATTAAGTTGCAATACTTAGATAAAATGGCGCTTAGTTTAGACTCCTAAACTGATTGGGAGGTTGTTACGTCATATCGTGCTACATAATGTAGCACGCTGTGACGTCACACGATATTTCAAATTAATGTATCGTCGAAAGTATTTAATTTTGTGAGCAAATAAAAAATACGTGTCTAAAATTTTAAATTAATGTACTAGACGGACATTTAAATAAAATTTCGGAAACTACCCTATTACGTGCACTTTGTAAGATATTTCTTCAAAAATCTTAATTATTGCCCAATATTTTTTTAAAGTTTACTTCTTTTCTAAATGTCTTAAGGCATCGTAGTAACATTACAACAATCTTTAAATTCATCCATTAATTAATGAGTCATGTGTATTTTGTGACTTGAATATTTCGCCATTTTTATTTTATGTTCGTTTTCTAAAGAATCACATTTAACATTATATTTACGTACCAAAGTACCTTTACAATTATCATCCGAATTATGAAAAATGTCTGTATTATTTAAACTCGACTGTGTATTTTTATTACTTACATATTTATGTAACTATCTGTTTTGTTACGGTCTGTAAAATGTATTTTTGTCGGATGTATTTTTAAAGTATTCTAGACTAAGATTTTACGATTGTATCCATTTCTCTCTAGTCTTACTGTGACTAAAAAGAAAAGTAAAGTGGAAAGATACTTAATGTTATAGGAATTATCTCTAAAGTTTAATTTAATGACCAATAAGTCTCCTTTAATTATGTATCTACAATAAATTACATTATTTATTGTATAACTTAACAATTAATTTAAGGTTTTAAAATTACATTACAATAATCGATGTATTGCAGTAATTAGTTTAGGTATCTAAGCGATTACAATGGCGATAACTTTAATCTAAAAAGTGAAATAACCCCTTTAGATTACTTAGTTAAAGTTAAAGATAAGATTTAAAAAATATTGAGAAAAATATCATCGGTACCTACAGTGACGTAAAAATGAAAAAACGACTTATCATTTTCAGAGCGCTTTCCACGAATCTTAATTTTCGGTGTAAGTGTAGATTAAAATGAAAGAAAGAAAGAAAAACCATTTATTTTTGCGCAGAATACACATAACATGTGTGTTCTGCGCAAATAAAAATGATCTTTGCTTTCCTCTACCGATATATTCAAATTATAAATTAGGTGTTGAACAATAAATCTAATTGTTATTGTGCTTTGGTCATCGCGGGACATTTTTGTAAAATTTTCAACCAGTATTTTTGTTTGTAAATTCTTTCTCATTTTTGCTATTAACCAACTGGTAGACATGACATGACATTCGATAAAATTATAAAGCTCATGTTAACTAACATACAAACAAAGTGAATAGAAATTTGAATATATCAAATCGATTCCATTAGCTTTTTTTTTTCGGAATGTACTTTTTATAGCTTGTTGTTTTTTAAAATCTATTTGGCCTAAACAAAACATATTATTAAACGGCTTTCACTTGTCCCCTTTGTTTGTTTGGGTCAAGGTCAAGTTATTGGAATTTTACCCCCTTCCAGATGTCAGATCGATCTGATATTTGGTACACAATCTTGACGACCTTTCAATATTATTTTTTGCTGTAACTGCTTCCATTACGGATATCAAGCGAAAGGGCTTGATTGGTAAAATGGAGCTCATAAAAACCGATTATCATAAATACATATCTATTAGATACTTATTGATAAGGCCAGCACCGTTGGGCTCGCTGTCATTACAGCGCTAAGTCCCCTCTTTGAGGAGTGGCTTGAGAGACGCTACGGCGTCCTCACCTACCGCCTGACGCAGGTGCTTACCGGACACGGGAGTTTCGGTAGGTACCTGTTTCGGATTGGGTGGGAGGAAATGCCCGGGTGTCATCACTACGAGGGCCGCCCAGAGGATACGGTGGAGCATATGGTAGCGGTGTGCCCTGCGTGGGCTGAGCACCACCGTGTGTTCAGGGATGTTGTCGGCGACAGCGACCTCTCGCGTCCGGCACTGGGTCGGGCCATGATGTGGAGCGAAGGGGACTGGGATGCCGTCTCCTCCTTTTGCGAAGCAGTCATGGTAGCCAAGGAGGAGGCGGGGCGCTCGAGGGAACGAACCTCCTCACGCCTCAGTGAACTCCTTGGACTCCGATAAATTCAGATAAGTTCTGTTGGATTTTTGCAAAAAATCTGTATAAAATCTGTCAGTAAATTCTAGTGTGAGGCAACGTTTATTCTAATAAATAAATATAATAATAAGAGAAGAAAAAAAATCTGTTTTGATTTGGGATTATACTCGAACGCGCGACATGTTGCGCGGCAGCCAGTTGCCCAGCCACCGCACCAATCGTGTAATCATATTAAATTATTATTATTTATTCCTATACTTGTCATTGATAGTATTAAGATCTGTCATTAGACAAACGACATAAGTAGCATTTAAGGTACCCTTTAATTTAGAAAATGGGAGGGTCCTAGCAGGCTGCTGTCTACCAGATTTCTATTTTGATATAAGCACGCCTTAGTTAAGTTTTTAGGGAACAGAGAGTATAGTTCCCTAAGATCGGAAAAGGAGGATCCTCCGACCAGGCGAGGTGATCGTGCCTGGCGGGCTTTCTGCCCAACATTTGTTCGTTGGGATTTCCTATCCATGTTTATTCGCTTGTAAGCTTTGCATGTGCGATGTAGGATTCTTGTGACGTCATCCATTGATTTGTGACGTGACATGTGTCGGTACAAGTTTTAGTATCTATGCATAATGCTAACGTAGTAATGTGATTGACAATCAATATTTTTATTAATTATGTATACTGTCTATACAGCGATATCTATATATCGCATTTTAAACGATCAGGTTTATCAGAGGGCGCTGCCGGCGGTTCGCTGCTAACCATGAGACACCCGCGGGTAAATTAGGCTACGCTGCTGGTGCTGGCACTGCTATCATCTCGCAAAAATCATGCCGGTCTATTTCGATGTGGTCTTCCACATTCCATTCCAAAAGACAAACAGAAATGTCTTTGATACTTGCATTTATCAGTAAGGATTCACTTCTAGGCAAAATAAAGTACTATACAATGCTACAAGACATTAATGTAATTTCTTAGTATTTATTAACGATAATTTACCTCTAAATATTAAGTTCTTTACTCTACACGCTCAAACTAATGTTATTTTGTAAAAGATTTATGTGCGTAATGAACTTAAAAATAATAATATTAAACTTAATTACAATAAAGGTATTTTTAGAGTATAATTGTGAATTAGTCTACATTTAAATTGTACGTAGATGACGCTTCGTCTGTGTTGAACACACTATATTAAACAATTACTCATTTGATGCTTCTAAATAGGCATTTTTCGGTATTAGATATGTGTCCGCAATACCGTGGTTAACCCATTGTTAACATAAGCCGACAATGCTGTTAACATAGGCCGACATCTTTGCTAATATTAGCCGACAACATTATTGAATATGAGCCAGTAGCATGGCTTGAAACTAGTCGACTTCTACGTCAAACAGTTACGTGAGTAAGCCGCGAACATAATAATTTAGTATGTCTCATGAAAGTTATAATATAGATAACATTGTTAATATTCGCCGACAACATTGTTAATGTTAACCCACAATTAGCCAACAACATTGTCAACATTGGCCGCGGACATTATTGATGTTGTTAGTTCCTCAAACTAATGCTATTTTGTAACAGATTTGTGTGCATAACGTACTTAAAAATAAATAACATTAAACTTAATAACAATAAAGGGAATTTTAGTGTATAATTGTGAATTAGTCTACATTTAAATTGTACGTAGATGACGCTTTGCCTGTGTTAACACACTATATTGAAGTGTTATTCATTTTGATGCTTCTAAATAGGCGATTTTCGCTAGTACATATATGTCCGCAATACAGTGGTCGGTCTATTGTTATTATTAGCCGACAGTATTGTTAATGGTAATCTAGAATATTGTTAACATCAGCCGACAACATGGCTATCGTTAGCCAACAACATAATGTATGCGACTTGATTGATCAAAAAGTGGTCGGTAACCATTATGAATGTGCAATTAGTTGTTGATGTTGCAGCCATACATTTCAGAATAATATTAGTTTCGGTTTAGAAGTATTTTCAACCATCCTGTTAATGCGTACAGGGTGGATTTATGTCTCTGCTCTACCAGATGGGTGCCATTATGGTAGACATTCTATTTACATTATACAATGGTATCATAAAAATTGTATGTCGTGCAGGGTACACGATTAAGGCTGGACCAGACTGGATACGTACGCGTAGACCTGTGCGCGTCGATATTCTGTATGTTATAACTCAGCGGTACGTACGTGTCTGCTCGAACCTTAACGTTTATTAGATGTTTACTCGATTGTGTACCTTTACGAAATGAATAAACGGTAATTGTAAAAGCAAAAGAAGTCTTTTTATAATTTTTATTTTCTTATATATTTTTTACCCGTAATTTTGACCAACATAAAAAACTCGCACTGGGCCCTAAGATGTATTGTTTGATGTACAGCGGTGGTCACGTAAATACCTGAAAGAATCGACATTATAGCTCTGGTTGGGCTTAAAGTCTTGCAGCCATTTGGCAAAATTTAGCGCGTCTCCATGTTTGAACATATTACTAAACTGTTGAAAGTCAGCGCATTTCTTTTCGTTTAGCAACGTTGCCTGTGTGGCGATTTCGCTCACAATTGTCGCCAGTAGAACTATATTATACACACAATATTATAAATGTAGGGTTCCTTTCGCTCGTTCTCTTTTTTTTATTAAATGTCCAGTTAAAGTTTGCTGTCAATTTAACCGACATTAATTTTGAAGTTTTATTGAAAAGTAAAAATACTTATTGAATGTTGTATATTTGATTTTACAAAAACCACTGTATAAATTATTTTCGACTTCTATTAAGATACATACATTACATTATATTAAAACAATACATTGGTATATCAGCTCTAGACTCCAGAAGCCGGCCCAGCAAGCATGTCGGACGACAAAGGAGCCGCGGTTGTGATTGGTACACGGAGAAACACCAGGGTATTGTTGTTATCATCCACGATCCTAAACTCGAATGGCAGGCTAAATCCCTGTAATTAAAAATATATTATTAAAAATATATTATAAAATATAGTAATAGAAGTTACTTATTGAAATCTTTCCCAATTTGGTTTTAGAGTCCCAGTCTGACCCAGCTGAATGTTGACGTCGACAGACTATTATTTGTCCTTCACAATCCGCTGAAGGGCGTGTCAAAAAAGTACTCGATTTATTCCTTATTAAAATTACCCGTTCATAATTATAAAATTCGATAGTAATTTACCTGGGACGTTTTTCAATATCGATGTTTCCCTCATAAATTATAATATCAGTAACAATTACTCACCGCAGGAACATATTGAGGGAGTACAGCACCACCTCGCCTTCTTCTAGAGGGCAGATACTGTTAGCGAGGTAGTTGCATGTCTGTGCACACTCCTCGAGAGTGTAAGGGATTAGAATGACGACAAATTCTGTTGCCAAAGTTGTCACCCTCTGCATAGCGTGAGCTGGAACAAATATGTTTTTATGTAAATCGTGTTATATATCAGCACGGGGTAGCCCTGCAAGCCTATTGCTATACACCAGGCATAGTGGTAGACACTAATATAATGTAAATAAATAAATACAGTCCTGACGTGCTCGGAACTTGATGTTGATGACTGCATCTTGTCCTAGTGGGAAGACACATGGCGGAGTAATATATCCTACTATGTACGTGTTTATCGGCAGAGGTCCATTGTAGAAATTACCTGTAAAAAGTGATTACACACTTACTACTACACCATGTTGTAGTAACGTCGGTCTCCAGTATTGACACCAGCCAATCAATGTTGCTGAACAGCTTCAGTGTACCGGTGTTATCTAGAGTATATCCTGGCTTACAGGACTTGCAGTGGTATTAGGAGGTTGTAGCTGGCTTATTCCTTCGACGTGACTATGACTTCGTATTTTCTAGTTCGGAAGTCCTCATGTTTAGGGGCCACATTTTTTTTATGGAATAGGAGACAAATAAGCTGACGGATCATCTGATGGTAAGCGATCTGCGCCGCCCATGAACACCCGCAACACCAGAGGAGTCACAGGTGCGTTGCCAGCCTTTTAAAAAGGAATATGCTATTTTCTTGAAGGTTTGCAGATCGTAACGGTTTAGGAATATCGCCGATGACAAATCATTCCACAGTTTTGCTGTGCGAGGCAGAAAGCTACGTGAGAAGCGCACAGTTGTGGCTTGATGGTGGGGATGCATATGCTGTCGTGAGGGTCGATGGCAAAAAGATGCGGTAGGTATCAGGTCAAACAATTCCTCAGAGCACTCCCCGTGCTATGGCAATAGAAAATGAACAACGAAGTTACATCTCTACGCATTGCTGAAGTGGCTAGCCGGTTTGAAACATCCCGATATCCAACAATCCGTACGGCACGCCGCTGACACGGTCCAGAGGAAGAAGCTGGTACTGGGATACAAATTTGTGACATGGGAAACGAGTGTATTCGGGAAGCGTCGTGATCGTTCGGGTAAATTCGTATTTCTCCGCGTGAGTAGAAAGCGCGAGGCGAGTTGCATTATGATTATGAACGACCACACTGGGTATTAGTGAGTATGGCGTCAGACCCGGTCAATAGGCCGTACTGTCAGTTCTGTCACAGTCTATACAGTCGTCCAACGAAGACGTCTAGACAGGGCAATCGTGCGGGGTGTGAAGGGCGAGACGCGGGTAGGCCGATCCCAAACTGCGAACAAAACCATGTTAGTAGCTCGGGATATATTACTCAGGGCTAACGCGTGTTTGTTTTTACCGATTTCAAAAAAGGAGGAGGCACTATGTTGCAATGATATTTTACATGTTGTCAAACAATGGTTTCCGAGGGTGGTAAAACCGATGGTGCTGTCAAAATGTATAATTTGTATTGATTAGAATTTTGCACCTATGTGGATTATAAGTGGCAAAACGGGTCTATGTAGTTTAACACTAAAAATGACAAAATAAAAAAACTGTGTTTATAAAACCGACTTCTCAAAAAACCTAAAAATAAAAGCAAATAAAAAGTAAAAACTAAAAAGCAAAAAAATAACCATATTGGTAGTTATGAGTTCCTCACCCACTGACCGACTTTTATTCGGTGCCATAAGCTCATATTTTTGACAACCCTGGCCGATGCGTTACTGTCTAGACTCTAGACGAAGTCGGCATTTTACACGAGATCAAAGGTCATGAATACGGACCGAATAGGGATCGGGTTTCTACTTACATACCCAGTATGCGTACTGGTAAGCTCAAACTAGGTATTTATACCTGTACCAGTAAATACGTATCATCCCTGAAGTAGAAGTATTTACTTCTAAATTTGAATTCATTAAGTCGTGACCACGAACAGACGATTTGCTATCATACGTAACTGTTCGACGCACCGATCTTTAAAATTTTGCCGGTTTTGTATATTACTTTGATATTTTCCTTAAAAATACCTCAAAGAAAAAACAAAACGGTTTTTGTATAATGCTCCGGGTAATTCAACCGCTAATATAGATTTTTTTTTTAAGGGGGGAAAATCATCGAATGACTGCTCCCACCTGGGTGAGGCGGGAGGGAGTGTCAGACTCTTACTGACTAAAAACCACCCCGTTCCTTCTCCTGCACGTCGAGCCGGAGCCCCGGTTACCCGTTAGGTTCTCCGCGACTCTGAATCGGCATCGGCCCTATTGGGCCCCATCTGTGGTGGTCTGATAGCTCTTTGAGGCGCACGCGGAACGCGACGCGCCGTACGCTCGGGTCTGTTTCTGGTCGGACGGGGAGCCACCCTTGCTCGCCGTCCGCAGGCCCGCGCTTACGGTGGCTGGAGATCGTCCCGCGATCCCCGACGCCCGGTGTGTCCTTCGCGATGGCTGGGTTGCGAGAAGGCAGCGCTTCATGCGTCCCGCCTCCTCCTTAGCTAGCATAACTGCTTCGCAAAAGGAGGAGACGGCATCCCAGTCCCCCTCGCTCCGCATCATGGCCTGCACTAGGCCCGGACGCGAGAGGTCGCCATCGCCGATCACTTCCCTGAGGGCACGGCGGTGCTCAGCCCACGCAGGGCATTCCGCTACAGTGTGTTCCACCGTATCCTCAGGGCGGTCCTCGCAGTGATGACACCCGGGCGTTTCCTCCCGCCCCATCAGACACAGGTACCTCCCGAAACTTCCATGTCCGGTGAGGACCTGCGTCAGGCGGTAGGTGAGGACGTCGTAGCGTCTCTCAAGCTACTCCTCATAGAGGGGTCTTACCGCTGCAATGGCAGCGAGCCCAGCCCTCGGTTGCGACAGTCGTTGCTGCCATTCCGCCATGAGATCGCGCCGGAGCTCATCCCGCCACGCACTTATCTGGCGCGGCAGCGGAGTTTCGCCCCGGCGACATGCCTCCGCGCGCGAGCACCTTCGCCTCCAGATCCCACGGCGGTAATCCGGCAAGGAGGTTCGGAGGTTATAATATAGTATATTATTATAGGGAAGCATTAACGTAATCAACTAGATACCAATATTACCAAATAAAGATATACCTACTATAGTCAGGATCTTTATTGGCAAAAAAAATACTATACGAGTTCATATGTATATAGCCCACTGTTATCTAAACGATGTTGTTTTCTTTTCGACAACCACGCTAACGAAGTCGCGGGCACAGCTAGTAAATAAATAAATCAGTAAGTCCAATGTCATGTCGTGTTCAAAGTGAAATAGGGATATCCAATCAAATATAATAGATCGATTGTTTTTTTTTTCTTTTAGGTAATAGGAATAATATTATACAGAAGTTTTGATTACTTCAAAACTTCTTTATTTCTAAACAATCATTGAAAAGATTATAACCTCAAAATCTGATACTTTTTTGAAATCTTTTCTTCAGCTAGTCCGCTATAAAGATATATACAAGATCTTCTAGGAGTCTACAAATGATAGAGAATACAATATATAAATATTCGATACCCTTGGCTCCAGGGCCAACAATGTATGAACGCAGAGCAATGTCCTTTAAAAATTGCTTAAAGAACGTTCGCCTTGATCGTTGTTTTTATAGCGTACATGCGTTTCTAGATTATAAATTAAAAAGGAGCCGAACATAATGTTCAGAGGGTCTAATGGACTGTTTTTGATTATTGTTGTTTTTGGATTGACGGCTGATTATTGTTATTTTTTTGTTAGCTTTATTTTTTAATGTTTGACAAATAATGTACTTCTTTTTGTATAAAGCAATTCTATTTTGACATGCACCTTTAATGACATTTTTTTCTCACTTATTATGACATACCTTGTTTTATAGTTTTAATTATTGTAACTTCTATGTAAAAGTTCTGCACACCCAAATTGTGGGCAGAATAAGAGGGACTGTAATTATAATGTGACCACTGTATACTTTGTTCAGGCAAATAAATGATTTTTGATTTTTTTGATACATTTACATTGTACGTAGATGACGCTTTGCCTGTGTTGAACACACTATATTAACGTATTGCTCATTTGATACTTTTAAATAGGGAATTTTCGCTATTATGTGTCCGCAATACATCGGTCCATTGTTAACATTAGTCGACAATGTTGTTAAGATTAGCCGATAACATTGGTAATATTAGCTGACAACATTGTTGAATATGAGCCTCTAGCATGGCTTGAAGCTAGTCGAGTTCCTCTAAGGATGAATCATAATAATTTAGTATGTCTAATGAAAGTTATGATATAGAAACATTGTTAATATACGCCGATAATATTGTTAATGTTAGCCCACAATATTATTAACATTAGCCGACAACATTTTCAACATTAGCCTTGAACATTATATTAATGTTGTATGTTCTTCAAACATTCGTCGTCATCTATATTATACTTATAATAAATCTGTAGAGAGGTCAATTCTGTACATAAAATATATTTAAAAAATAACTATCAAGGGGTGATTAGGGATCGCTACTGATGCCAAAAATGCAATCAGTAAAATTTTTGTCTGTCTGTCTGTATGTTCGTTATGGAAACAAAAACTACTCGATGGATTTTAACGAAATTTGGCACAATTATTCTTCATACTCTTGGGCAGGTTATAGTATACTTTTCATTACGCTACGATCAATAGGAGCAGAGCAGTGAAGGGAAATATTGGGAAAACGGGAGAAGTTACTCCATTTTTTAAGCTTCCGACGCGTGTGCAGGCTTATAGGTTAAAGCTGCATAGAAATCATGTATGACGGAAATATTCTCCTTAAAATTATATAAAAAATATTCCTCGACAGCATATGTCTATCTTTTATGGTTGACTCACAATAACACGTGAAACTTCCGATAGCTTAGCAATTCGGTGATTTCTGATTGTATTTGTCTACTCTAACGTTTACAATACTCATTCATAGACTTTACGCTGTATCTGAAAGGCCAATGGTTGAAATTAGCTTGACTCGATATTATAAATGAAAATATGTGAGTTTATGTGTATGTTTGTTACTCAGTCATATTAAAACGACTGAAAGGACCGGAATGAAATTCGGAACAGAGGTAGATTATGGTCTGAAGTGATACATAGGCATTTTACCCCTGGGATCGCGGGCGAAGCCGCTGGCAGAAACTAGTTCTTTAATAAAATAGTTACACCTTTAGCTACTTAAGTTTAACTCAAGCATAGACTTACGTACATAACACACACAGCTGCATATTGTAATCGTTATTTTATCAATGATCTGTAAGTTTTTGTCCTCACGCGTGTTATCAATTGATAATAAACAGATTATAAATAAATGAATGCATGAATGTCGGAATAGTATCATTTAGTCTGTGCACGTTGGAACAAGTGAACATGTTGCGTGTTGTGGCTTACGTCTGCGCTCTCCTGGCACTGGCACACGGACAAACCACCAATGTACAGTCGTGTAAGTCTGTGCCAAACATGATAATAATAATCAGTTCTAAATGTATTAATATATAAAGCTGAAGAGATCTCCGGAACTACTGGTCCGAATGAAGTAATTCTTTCTGTGTATTGAATATTCTATATTTCGAGAAAGGCTGTATAGGCTATATTGAATTAATAAAATATAACACTGGCTGCTTTACAGTGTTTAGTTTTTGAATAGTTCTGCCAGGTGGCACTTTATGTTTTTGTTTCGTTCTGTTGTTGTTCTTACCTTTCATAGAAGTATGTGCAAGTAAATAAAAGTAAATAATTATTTACAAGAATACAATCTTTTATTAGAATTCCTAGCCCCTAACTCAATAGGCTATAGAACATCACGCGGTGATTAAATGAACTATACAATACAAACAAAATGTCAAATCGATTATTAGTTTCTGAGATAGCGCGTTCAAACCAACTCTTCAGACTTATTAAATGAATATGGCATCATAAACAGTACCTATACTTTTACTTCGAGTCGGAGCCCCGGTATCCTGTTAAGTTCTCCGTGACTCCGTATTGACATCAGCCCTATTGGGCTCCATCCGTGGTGGTTTGATGACTCATTGAGGCGCGCGCAGAACGCAACGCACCATGCGCTCGGGTCTGGCTCTAGTCGGGCGGTGAGCTACCGAGGCCCGTCCGTGCTTACGGTGGCCGGTGGTCGTCCCGTGATCCTCGACGCCCGGAGTGTCCTTCTCGACGGCTGGATTGTGAAGAGCAGCGAAACGCTCCCCGCCTCCTCCTTAGCTAGCAAGACTACTTCGCAAATAGAGGAGACGGCATCGCAGTCCTCCTCGCTTCTCATCATGGCCCGGACTAGGGCAGAACGCGAGAGGTCGCCGTAATCTGTGAAAATGTAGTACTGTGAATTTTTTTTTAAATCGTTCCAGCACTTTATGATGCAATTTATTACAAAAATACATATACATTACATACCTATAAATCTTTCCTGTTAATAATATGAGTGTAAATAGAGTATAGATGTCACTCGAAAACAACAAGAAGTTTATACATTTATTTTCTAGGAAATTATGAAGGTTTGTAAATGTAAACGAGATATAAATTGTATTATCATTGACAAATCAGAGAGCAACTGTCAACATTAACCAACCAGAGAGCAGTGTATTATGTATCGTATTTTTTTTAAGAAGCAATATATAGGTAGGTGGCTAATTTTTATTGCAATGATCGTCTGGTAGATTATTTTAAAACCTTAGACACGTATTTTTTATTTTCTTACAGAAGCAAATCCTTTCGCCGACTTATTGATTTGAAATCGACTATCTCTCACACTTGAGATTTACAGATGATATCGTCATCATGCAGGACTTACAATATATGCTGAGCAGCCTTTTTGATTCTTCCGCACGCATCGGGCTCCGGATGAACTTAGACAAAACAAAAATCATTCTGGAGACAATTGTCCTCAACGGGTGGTCGCTCAAAGTTGTTCGAGAATACATCTACCTGGGATAAACCCTGTAGCTTGTATAGGAAACTCAATCAAGTCTTCTCGTCACATATACCGTAAGCCTGAAGACAAAAGTCTTTAACGGAGCCGAGACGTGGACACTGACAGTGCGACTGGTCCACCAATTTAAGTTCGCGCAGCGAGCTATGGAGCGGGCTATGCTCGGAGTCTCTTTGAAGGATCGAATCCGAAACGAAGTGATCCGACAAAGAACCAAAGTTATCGACATAGCGTAAAGGATTCGTAAGCTGAAGTGGCAGTGGGCCGGTCACATTTGTCGAAGAACCGATAACCGCTGGGGTAAACGTGTTCTAAAGTGGAGACCGCGTCTCGGCAAACGTAGTGTAGGGCGCCCTCCACCTAGGTGGAGTAACGATATCCGCAAGGTGGCTGGCAGTGGTTGGATGAGAAGAGCTGAAGACCGAGCTCAGTGGCGTGCCATTGGAGAGGCGTATGTGTAGCAGTGGACGAATACGGGCTGATGACGACGATGATGAGTGTTTAACCGACTCCTCAAAAAACAGGAACTTCTAAATTCATCTGTATGTTATTTTTGTACAAAAGAAATAAACACATAAACACACACACACACACACACTCACACACGCGCGCGCGCACACACAGACACATCTACACACACACTCACCTATGTATAGTAGTTATATCTATTTTAATTTTATATATTATTTATTTGGTATGTAGGTATAGATAGTATTATATTGTATGTATTGTTTTAATTATTGTACACTAGACGACCCCCTTTTTTCCAACTCCTGAATACTGGCTCCATCCAAAGGTTGTCTGGAAGACAACCTTTGGATTGTGCACATTCTTTTATGTGCACATTCTTTTATGTTTGTTTTTTTTATGTATGTTTTTATGGTGTACATTAAAGTGTAAATAAATAAATTAAATAAAAAAGAAATAAATCCCATTTATAAGGCCATGTCACACGACAAGAATACAGATAGGTACACATAAAAAGCATATGTATATTACGCGATTATTCGGGCGATAGTGGACGGATTTTGATGATAATTTTTTCGTTGGAAAGGTTAAATATTCTCTCGAAGTGGCTACATTTCCACCTGGCCAGGTTCGAATGTTGGAGTCCTAGGGAAACCGAAGGGAACTTCCAAAAATTGTAGGGGGTAACTAGTGCGATTGCTTATTTTTTATCCGGCTGTAGGAATGGTGTTTTTCACTCGTATATTGTATATGAGTGTAAGATTCTTCTCTACCTCGTTTCTGCTAAACCACCCAACTAATTTACATTTACATGGAAAAAAATATTTTCTTCTAATATTGCAATATGGAAATCAATATAAAGACCTCATCGAGAAGATTTCATGGTATTTTTTTTTTCTTAAGGGGGGAAAATCATCGAATGACTGCTCCCGCCTGGGCGAGGCGGAAGGGAGTGTCAGACTCTTACTGACTAAAAACCACCCCGTTCCTTCTCCTGCACGTCGAGCCGGAGCCCCGGTTACCCGTTAGGTTCTCCGCGACCCCGAATCGGCAACAGCCCTATTGGGCTCCACCTGTGGTGGTCTGATGGCTCTTTGAGGCGCGCGTGGAACGCGACGCGCCGTACGCTCGGGTCTGTTTCTGGTCGGACGGGGAGCCACCCATGCTTGCCGTCCGCAGTCCCGCGCTTACGGTGGCCGGAGATCGTCCCGTGATCCCCGACGCCCGGTATGTCCTTCGCGATGGCTGGATTGCGAGGAGGCAGCGCTTCGCTGCCTCACGCGTCCCGCCTCCTCCTTAGCTAGCATGACTGTTTCGCAAAAGGAGGAGACGGCATCCCAGTCCCCCTCGCTCCGCATCATGGCCCGCACTAGGCCCGGACGCGAGAGGTCGCCATCGCCGATCACTTCCCTGAGGGCACGGCGGTGCTCAGCCCACGCAGGGCATTCTCCCACTGTGTGTTCCACCGTGTCCTCAGGGCGGTCCTCACAGTGATGACACCCGGGCGTTTCCTCCCGCCCCATCAGACACAGGTGCCTCCCGAAACTTCCATGTTCGGTGAGGACCTGCGTCAGGCTATAGGTGAGGACGCCGTAGCGTCTCTCAAGCCACTCCTCAAAGAGGGGACTCACCGCTGTAATGGCAGCGAGCCCAGCCCTCGGTTGCGACAGTCGTTGCTGCCATTCCGCCATGAGATCGCGCCGGAGCTCATCCCGCCACGCACTTATCTGGCACGGCAGCGGAGTTTCGCCCCGGCGACGTGCCTCCGCGCGCATGTGATACACGCGCGCGAGCACCTTCGCCTTCAGATCCCACGGCGGTAATCCGGCAAGGAGGTTCGCCGACTTCCCGGAGATCGTGTGGAATCCGCGGATCATTCGGATCGCCATGGCCCTCTGTGACATGAGCAGCGTCCGAGCGGGACGCCGCAGCATGTTCGGCGCCCACACAGGGGCGCCGAACATGCTGCGGCCATGGACCGCACGACCCCGGCGAGATTTCATGGTATATCATGTCTATAATACAAAAACCATTGAATAGATTAAATTCTCATGTTTGGTTATATAATGTAACGGCTAGGGTAGGGGTACCCTAGCTGTTACATTATATAACCAAACATCTTAATTTCTTTTTTCTTCCTTGTTTTCTTTCTACCGTTCTTTCTGACTTTATTGCAAATGTTTTACTTTTACAGGTACTATGGCCAATGCACCATTGCCGATCAACGCGCACATTGTTGGCTGTGTGGAGCCGCCATGTATCATTCAGCAGTACTCTTATGTGGGGATTAACGTCTTATTCCGAGCACGTCAGTACTTCATCTAATTATACTACACTATACTTGTACCCTAGACTGTTGATATACTCGTAAATACTGCACATTCCACATCACCTTTATAAAGACGTAATGACAAGATAATGTCGCTACGTATACTGGTCATAATTATGAGCCACCAAAACTCATTGAGTGGTCTGAAAAGAAAAAGAAAACTTCGTACAAGTACATGCTCTCGACGTCTCTTTCTAAAAGTCGATGTGCAACATTTATCCCCGAGTCACATCCGTATTATCCTTAAGGCAAACTGGGCGAGTGCCTAGGCTGTCAGTGTTCGATGCAATGTTTTGCATTCCACCACAGTTGCCAACTTAGCAATATAACGCAGCTGTGCTGAGTGCGTCGCTAACGCAGTGCATAATCGATCAGCGAACCGGGCGCATTTATATTCATTCTAGCCATTATTTTAGCATATGTAGTTTCGTGAAATAAACTACTTTTATATCAAATGCAACAAACTGTATTAAGAGTGACTCCACCCCAGCAACTACCACTTACCTCGGGGCGCCGTGAGACACACGTGCCTAACTATCCATGTCACCCATAGGCGGGAGGGCGTGTCAGACTCTTACTGACTACAAACCACCCCGTTCCTACTCTGCTCTCCGCGGTTCAGTATCGGCATTAGCCCTATTGGGCCCCATCGGTAGTGGTCTGATGGCTCTTTGAGGCGCGCGCGGAACGCGACGCGCTGAACGCTCGGGTTTGGTTCTGGTCGGGCGGCAAGCCACCCATGCTCGCTGTCCGCAGGCCCGCGCTTACGGTGGCCGGAGATCGTTCCGCAATCCCCGCCGCCCGAAGTGTCCTTCGCGATGGATGGGTTGGTGGAGGCAGCGCTTCGCTGCCTCATGCGTTCCGCCTCCTCTTTAGCTAGCATGACTGCTTCGCAAAAGGAGGAGACAGCATCGCTCTGCATCATGACCCACACTAGGGCCGGACGCGAGAGGTCGCCATCGCTGATCAAGTCCCTGAGGGCACGGCGGTACTCAGCCCACGCAGGGCATTCCCCTACTGAGTGTTCCACTGTGTCCTCAGGGCGGTTCTCGCAGTGATGACACCCCGGCGTTTCCTCCTGCCCCATCAGACACAAGTACCTCAAAGAGGGGACTTACCGCTGCAATGGCGGCGAGCCTAGCCACCTACTTGCTTAGGGCGCATTCTAGGTTTAATCCGCCTCCGTATTATTGTACTTTTTTCAATGTAAATATATTATAATTCTCCTCGGACTCTTGGTCCGTGCTCATGGTAGCATGAAAATTAGAAAATATTTCATAAAATATGATTTATGAAAATACGATTTTAATGAGCTCTATTCTATCAAACAACCCCTTATTTTGATATTCACAATGGAGAGCACGATGAATATTTTTCTAAGAAAAATTATGATTTCCTCCTGTGTTGTGGGTGCGTTTACCAACATATATTATTTTATTATCCAGTTTTAACTATTGAAATATCACGCATTGCAATCATTACAAAGTAAACTAATACTTCTGCGATATTTTGAACTTCAATATATCTTTACACTTATTTTACTAGTGGCTGACGGGGGCGTATATACATATGTGTAGAAATGCCGTTTTATTTTTTCAGCGCGCAACATTCAAACCATGACTACTGTTGCGACAGCACATATACGCATACCATTCCCTTACCCTCTTGGAGACGCCGCACAGACATGCAATTACCTCACTAACAGCTACTGTCCTCTTGTCGAGGGTGAGGTAGTGCAGTACACTCTACATATGTTCATCGAGAGCTCATTCCCCGCGGTAAGTTAAATTTTAAAATGAGTACACACTACTTACTAAAGGCCTCTTCTCACACGGAGAAGGTTTGAGCTTTAATTTTAAATGGTGTTGCCACAATTGTCCAGCTTTTTTTTAAATTCGGAAATTCATCTAATGACTTCTCTCGCCTTGGGTGATCGAGTGAGAGTATCAGGCTCTGGCTAGAAACCACACCGTTTCGTACTTAATGACCAAAAGGGGAAATAAATAATTTTCAATAAACTGCGTTTAAAAACCGACGTCAACCTCTATTTTTGAAGTCGGTTGATATCTTGAAACCTATTTCTAGGTGCAACAATTTATACTAATCGGTGCAGTCAATAGCTATATACTTATATATACATAGTTTAACGTTCCGAGACTCGAACCCGAGACCACTGGTTCAGCAATTTACCAGTAACACTTGCTACTTGTAAAAATTCATTTCAGAAAAGTCTTTAAGTTCTTAAGCTAAACAACATTTTTTCTAGCTTTTAAGTTTATTAGCTCTTCCAGTGTGCAGATCGTTGACAAGAATTTTCTAATTACAGGGAACCAGTCTACCAGTCGAATTCAGGGTTAATGAGGGTGGATTCTTAGGTACGCCAATCTGGTGCATCCGTGTCCCCCTGACAATTGTTCCTCCACTCTCCAGTTCTAATATGTCTGCCGGCAATGCTACTGTAGCTGACAAAGTATAATCTTAATAAATAATGCACTCATCATTAACATTAATATAATCAGATTGAGCATTAATCACCACAGATGCTCGAAGTGGATTGGCGATTTCAAACTTATAATTAGAAGTTATATATGCAGGTTTTCTCACGAGGTTTTCATTCACCGTAAATCAGTAGTGTTTAAGTAATCTTAGAAAGAACTTGTAGCTCGGAAGAAGTCACATTGATACTTGTCAGGTACAAGTACCCGCACCCCGCATGAAACGCAGGCGTATTTATTTGACATGTCATTGAACATTACATTACAATATGCTCATGCTAATAGACTGATATGTTTTGTACAGAAAAACCAAAAATTGTAAACATTCATTCTATACATTTTGAGAAATAAATTAATTTGTAAGTATTTACCGACTTCACTTGGGTTTCATTTCATGAATTTTGGAATATTAAAATGAAATAAATTCTCTACATTGAAAATATAAATAAATAGTGGGATGTGTTACTAGATGGATACCGAACCCAGAAATCTGGTTAAAAACTTTTTGTCTGCCTGTCTGTATGTTCATACATCACGCAAAAACTACTAGTCCGATTACGACGAAATTAAGTGTAATTATACTTTAATATCCTGGGCATCACACTGGGTACTTTATACCCGAAAAAGTATATACACTAAAACAAACTTCATTTTGTCGAATGTTGAGACACCCGCAGTGGAGTTTGAAATTAGCTTGACTCGCTATTATATGTAAATGCGATGTTTATATGTTTGTTACTCAGTCACATCAGAACTGCTGAAGGGATCGGGATGAAATTTGAAACAGAGGTAGATTATGGTCTTCTTCTACCCCCGAGACCGCGGGCAAAGCCGCTGGCAGAAGCTAGTATTTCAATATGAGCCCTCGTCGTTTGCTGTAATTAATATATATAGAAATTAAAATTGGTGAATTAATTAATGATTCCTATCAAAGAGACATTACTTTGCCTCCTGTATGCATGAGAGTCCTGACTCAAAGTACGTATTACATTGTTGTTTGTTGACGGAGTAACTTCAAAATAAATAAATTATACCAGTTTCCTACAATCTAGAACTTATATAATTTAAAAGTGATATTTAGTCTAGAGGTAAGAATATTTTTACGTAATAAAGAAATACACCATTAAGAATTGGTTTTTATCTTTGTGCCTAGTACCTAAAAGGACATTTTCATATTATTTGTGTATTTGTCGTTTGCCTTGTTTGTGACTCAAGAGTTACTCAACATGTACAGCACTGTTGCACAGCACCGTACATTGTTGCCAGCGCACATATATAATGATGCGCGACATATTGTGTGTTGCGAAAATCATCCAATGAGGTTTCCCGCCCAGGGTGACGCGAGAGGGAGTGTCACTGACTCTTACTGACTAAAAACCACCCCGTTCCTACCCCTGCTTCATGTAATTTCTTAGGCAACGTGTTGTTGGCAATTATTGCGAGTGAAGTTGTATGTGGCACATCAAACGTTGTCTATTCGCTATGATACTTTTAGATAGCACAGATGTACAGGCATACTTTTATACAAACCACTTATTCGTTTGTGGGTAAGTATAGTAATAATCCTAAGAGTCTTTTAGTCTTTTGAAATTATCATATAAAAGGTTATTTTCAATACGTCACGGTTAGACTCAGTGCAATATCCGAATGTTTATAAATGGTAGGAAAAAAGTGACCTGCATCCTGTGTCACTCTTGACACAGGTGTCTAGACACAGAAGCCACTCCATAAAGACGTTTGTTTGTTTGTTTGTTAGTAAAAAAGATCATCTATACAAACGTATTTACAAAATTGTTAGTGAAATTGATATAAAAACCTCCCAGCACTGATTATTATAAGAGAATATTTACTAACATTGTTGAATTGGTTGGTTATCAATTATGGAATTATGAGGAATAATAAAAAGTGAAAAAACTAAAACCCCACTACGACAAAAAACGACGCTGAAAAAGTATAAAACAAGATTTTCAGAATACTGAACTGAACAATGTTGCTAACGTAGTTACATACAAGTAAATAGACACAGTAGACTCTACCAAGATGCGTCCGTTGTAAATTGACATTAATGTTATACAATACTGTTCTCAAGTATGCAGTATTCACTAGGTGGAGATATATTTTCAAGTTTGGGAAACCGCAGTCAAATGTTGTCAAAGTGCTACGGTAGGTAGGTATATGTAAATGTCGACTGCACGGTTGGTGCGGTGGCTGGACAACCGGCTGCCGTGCAACGTGTCGCGGGTTCGATTCCCGCACGGGACGACACTTTGTGTGATCCACAATTTGTTGTTTCGGGTCTGGGTGTCATTGTGTATGTGAACTTGTATGTTTGTAAACGCACCCACGACACATGAGAAAATCCTAGTGTGGGGCAACGTTTTTTAAAAAAACAAAAACAAAACAACCTTTATATTTTAACTTCGACTTGTATTAAGAAACATACATTACATTATATAAACACAATACATTGGTCTTAAGTCAAAATTAAAGTACCATTGGAACTGTATATCAGCTCTAGACTCCAGAAGCCGACCCAGCAAGCATGTCGGACGACAAAGGAGCTGCGGTTGTGATTGGTACACGGAGGCACACCAGGGCATTGTTGTTATCATCCACGATCCTAAACTCGATTGGCAGGCTAACTCCCTATAATTAAAAAATATTATTAATAGAAGTAATTTCTCGTGTTGAAGTCTTTCCCAATTAGGTTTTGAAGTCGCAATCTCCCGGCTGAATGTCAGCTGTCAATCGGCTGAAGGTGATAAATGAGATAATCATTCCTTGTTAGATCCATTATAATGGTTATGTGGGGTCTTGTTAGCTGCTTGGTAAGCACTATGCAGTAATATATTATAATATCAGCAACAATAACTCACCGCAGGGATAGTAGACTCGATGAACATATTGAGGGAGTACTGCACCACCTCGCCTTCGTCCAGAGGGCAGCTGCTGTTAGCGAGGTAATTGCATGTTTGTGCGGCCTCTCCGAGAGGGTAAGGGATTGCAACGAACAGAAATGCTGTCGCAAAACTTGTCATTCTCTGCACAGCGTGAGCTGGAACAAATGTATATTTATATATATCAGCATGAGGTAGTCCTGTAAGCCTTGCCATAGACCAGGCACAGTGGTAGACTTCACCAGTGAGGCATTGATATAATATTAATAAATAAATAAAGTACTGACGTGCTCGGAACTTGATGTTGATGACTGGATCTTGTCGTAGTGGGAAGACACATGGTGGATTAACACACCCTTCTATGTACGTGTTTATCGGCAGAGGTCCATTGTGGAAAGTACCTGTAAAAAGTGATTACACAGTTACTACTGCACCATGGTGTAGGTATGTCGGTATCCAGTATTGACACCAGCCAATCAGTGTAGCTGAACCGCCACACTGATTGGCTGTTGTCGTCCTCCTAGGAGTAAAAACAGTTGTGGCACTACCTCTACGTTATGTAGTATACACACTGTGTATATACTCACACGACTGTACATTGGTGGTTTGTCCGTGTGCCAGTGCCAGGAGAGCGCAGACGTAAGCCACAACACGCAACATGTTCACTTGTTCCAACGTGCACAGACTAAATGATACTATTCCGACATAAACTGTTGTATTTATTCAAATGTGAACGCAGTTATCAATCAACTATTGATAACATTTGTGTGGGTCAAAGATTTAAAATCATTGATAAAATAAAATTTAATTCACAGGTGTGGGCTGAGTCATTAATGAAATGTTTTCATTGTAAACATTGGAAACTCCTCGATTCGATATTGATTGTCGAGTTGGAAGGTTTGTTCATCGTGTGTGTGCCTTTGGGCTGAAGTCATTCTGTATCCTGCTTTAATTCACCGAGGGAAGTTATCGTTTGATTCTTCTCCTCTTATAATATCTTCCGATTTATTTCGTTGCGGTATCCAAGCCAGTTATTCATGTCCCTGAGACGCAGCGGACTTTAGTGTACCGGTGTTTACATGGTTGTATCTGTAGTATATCCTCGCTTACAGGACTTGCAGCGTATTTGGAGGTTGTGGCAGGCTTATTCCGTCGACGTGACTTCGTATTTTTATAGTTTGGAAATCCTCATGTATAGGAGCCCTTATAATCATAACCATTTATTATATTCATGTAGTTATAGGTGTAATGAAACTTTATATGAATATATGAACCCTGCTAGGGCTTGGTAATATGAATATTCTTCAGTGGACCTAACGATGTGATCGTTACACTCTTTATATACGAATATATAATTTCCACTTCCCTCGGTGAATTAAAGCAGGATACAGAATGACTTCAGCCCAAAGGCACACACACGATGAACAAACCTTCCAACTCGACAATCAATATCGAATCGAGGAGTTTCCAATGTTTACAATGAAAACATTTCATTAATGACTCAGCCCACACCTGTGAATTAAATTTTATTTTATCAATGATTTTCAATCTTTGACCCACACAAATGTTATCAATAGTTGATTGATAACTGCGTTCACATTTGAATAAATACAACAGTTTATGTCGGAATAGTATCATTAAGTCTGTGCACGTTGGAACCAGTGAACATGTTGCGTGTTGTGGCTTACGTCTGCGCTCTCCTGGCACTGGCACACGGACAAACCACCAATGTACAGTCGTGTGAGTATATACACAGTGTGTATACTACATAACGTAGAGGTAGTGCCACAACTGTTTTTACTCCTAGGAGGACGACAACAGCCAATCAGTGTGGCGGTTCAGCTACACTGATTGGCTGGTGTCAATACTGGATACCGACGTACCTACACCATGGTGCAGTAGTAACTGTGTAATCACTTTTACAGGTACTTTCCACAATGGACCTCTGCCGATAAACACGTACATAGAAGGGTGTGTTAATCCACCATGTGTCTTTCCACTAGGACAAGATCCAGTCATCAACATCAAGTTCCGAGCACGTCAGTACTTTATTTATTTATTAATATTATATCAATGCCTCACTGGTGAAGTCTACCACTGTGCCTGGTCTATGGCAAGGCTTACAGGACTACCTCATGCTGATATATATAAATATACATTTGTTCCAGCTCACGCTGTGCAGAGAATGACAAGTTTTGCGACAGCATTTCTGTTCGTTGCAATCCCTTACCCTCTCGGAGAGGCCGCACAAACATGCAATTACCTCGCTAACAGCAGCTGCCCTCTGGACGAAGGCGAGGTGGTGCAGTACTCCCTCAATATGTTCATCGAGTCTACTATCCCTGCGGTGAGTTATTGTTGCTGATATTATAATATATTACTGCATAGTGCTTACCAAGCAGCTAACAAGACCCCACATAACCATTATAATGGATCTAACCAGGAATGATTATCTCATTTATCACCTTCAGCCGATTGACAGCTGACATTCAGCCGGGAGATTGCGACTTCAAAACCTAATTGGGAAAGACTTCAACACGAGAAATTACTTCTATTAATAATATTTTTTAATTATAGGGAGTAAGCCTGCCAATCGAGTTTAGGATCGTGGATGATAACAACAATGCCCTGGTGTGCCTCCGTGTACCAATCACAACCGCAGCTCCTTTGTCGTCCGACATGCTTGCTGGGTCGGCTTCTGGAGTCTAGAGCTGATATACAGTTCCAATGGTACCTTAATTTTGACTTAAGACCAATGTATTGTGTTTATATAATGTAATGTATGTTTCTTAATACAAGTCGAAGTTAAAATATAAAGGTCGTTTTGTTTTTGTTTTTTTAAAAAACGTTGCCCCACACTAGGATTTTCTCATGTGTCGTGGGTGCGTTTACAAACATACAAGTTCACATACACAATGACACCCAGACCCGAAACAACAAATTGTGGATCACACAAAGTGTCGTCCCGTGCGGGAATCGAACCCGCGACACGTTGCACGGCAGCCGGTTGCCCAGCCACCGCACCAACCGTGCAGTCGACATTTACATATACCTACCTACCGTAGCACTTTGACAACATTTGACTGCGGTTTCCCAAACTTGAAAATATATCTCCACCTAGTGAATACTGCATACTTGAGAACAGTATTGTATAACATTAATGTCAATTTACAACGGACGCATCTTGGTAGAGTCTACTGTGTCTATTTACTTGTATGTAACTACGTTAGCAACATTGTTCAGTTCAGTATTCTGAAAATCTTGTTTTATACTTTTTCAGCGTCGTTTTTTGTCGTAGTGGGGTTTTAGTTTTTTCACTTTTTATTATTCCTCATAATTCCATAATTGATAACCAACCAATTCAACAATGTTAGTAAATATTCTCTTATAATAATCAGTGCTGGGAGGTTTTTATATCAATTTCACTAACAATTTTGTAAATACGTTTGTATAGATGATCTTTTTTACTAACAAACAAACAAACAAACGTCTTTATGGAGTGGCTTCTGTGTCTAGACACCTGTGTCAAGAGTGACACAGGATGCAGGTCACTTTTTTCCTACCATTTATAAACATTCGGATATTGCACTGAGTCTAACCGTGACGTATTGAAAATAACCTTTTATATGATAATTTCAAAAGACTAAAAGACTCTTAGGATTATTACTATACTTACCCACAAACGAATAAGTGGTTTGTATAAAAGTATGCCTGTACATCTGTGCTATCTAAAAGTATCATAGCGAATAGACAACGTTTGATGTGCCACATACAACTTCACTCGCAATAATTGCCAACAACACGTTGCCTAAGAAATTACATGAAGCAGGGGTAGGAACGGGGTGGTTTTTAGTCAGTAAGAGTCAGTGACACTCCCTCTCGCGTCACCCTGGGCGGGAAACCTCATTGGATGATTTTCGCAACACACAATATGTCGCGCATCATTATATATGTGCTGGCTGGCAACAATGTACGGTGCTGTGCAACAGTGCTGTACATGTTGAGTAACTCTTGAGTCACAAACAAGGCAAACGACAAATACACAAATAATATGAAAATGTCCTTTTAGGTACTAGGCACAAAGATAAAAACCAATTCTTAATGGTGTATTTCTTTATTACGTAAAAATATTCTTACCTCTAGACTAAATATCACTTTTAAATTATATAAGTTCTAGATTGTAGGAAACTGGTATAATTTATTTATTTTGAAGTTACTCCGTCAACAAACAACAATGTAATACGTACTTTGAGTCAGGACTCTCATGCATACAGGAGGCAAAGTAATGTCTCTTTGATAGGAATCATTAATTAATTCACCAATTTTAATTTCTATATATATTAATTACAGCAAACGACGAGGGCTCATATTGAAATACTAGCTTCTGCCAGCGGCTTTGCCCGCGGTCTCGGGGGTAGAAGAAGACCATAATCTACCTCTGTTTCAAATTTCATCCCGATCCCTTCAGCAGTTCTGATGTGACTGAGTAACAAACATATAAACATCGCATTTACATATAATAGCGAGTCAAGCTAATTTCAAACTCCACTGCGGGTGTCTCAACATTCGACAAAATGAAGTTTGTTTTAGTGTATATACTTTTTCGGGTATAAAGTACCCAGTGTGATGCCCAGGATATTAAAGTATAATTACACTTAATTTCGTCGTAATCGGACTAGTAGTTTTTGCGTGATGTATGAACATACAGACAGGCAGACAAAAAGTTTTTAACCAGATTTCTGGGTTCGGTATCCATCTAGTAACACATCCCACTATTTATTTATATTTTCAATGTAGAGAATTTATTTCATTTTAATATTCCAAAATTCATGAAATGAAACCCAAGTGAAGTCGGTAAATACTTACAAATTAATTTATTTCTCAAAATGTATAGAATGAATGTTTACAATTTTTGGTTTTTCTGTACAAACAATATTAGTCTATTAGCATGAGCATAATATTATAATTTAATGTTCAATGACATGCCAAAAAACGTCGCCTGCGTTTCATGCGGGGTGCGGGTACCTGTACCTGACAAGTATCAATGTGACTTCTTCCGAGCTACATGTTCTTTCTAAGATTACTTAAACACTACTGACTTACGGTAAATGAAAACCACGTGAGAAAACCTGCATATATAACTTCTAATTATAAATTTGAAATCGCCAATCCACTTCGAGCATCTGTGGTGATTAATTCTCAATCTGATTATATTAATGTTAATGATGAGTGCATTATTTATTAAGATTATACTTTGTCAGCTACAGTAGCATTGCGGGCAGACATATTAGAACTGGGGAGAGGAGGAACAATTGTCAGGGGGACACGGATGCACCAGATTGGCGTACCTAAGAATCCACCCTCATTAACCCTGAATTCGACTGGTAGACTGGTTCCCTGTAATTAGAAAATTCTTGTCAACGATCTGCACACTGGAAGAGCTAATAAACTTAAAAGCTAGAAAAAATGTTGTTTAGCTTAAGAACTTAAAGACTTTTCTGAAATGAATTTTTACAAGTAGCAAGTGTTACTGGTAAATTGCTGAACCAGAGGTCTCGGGTTCGAGTCTCGGAACGTTAAACTATGTATATATAAGTATATAGCTATTGACTGCACCGATTAGTATAAATTGTTGCACCTAGAAATAGGTTTCAAGATATCAACCGACTTCAAAAATAGAGGTTGACGTCGGTTTTTAAACGCAGTTTATTGAAAATTATTTATTTCCGCTTTTGGTCATTAAGTACGAAACGGTGTGGTTTCTAGCCAGAGCCTGATACTCTCACTCGATCACCCAAGGCGATAGAAGTTAATTGATGATTTTTCGAAATAAAAAAAAAGCGTGACAATTGTGGTAAAACTATCTAAAATTAAAGCTCAAACCTTCTCCGTGTGAGAAGAGGCCTTTAGTAAGCAGTGTGTACTCATTTTAAGTTTTAACTTACCGCGGGGAATGAGCTCTCGATGAACATATGTAGAGTGTACTGCACTACCTCACCCTCGACAAGAGGACAGTAGCTGTTAGTGAGGTAATTGCATGTCTGTGCGGCGTCTCCAAGAGGGTAAGGGAATGGTATGCCTATATGTGCTGTCGCAACAGTAGTCATGGTTTGAATGTTGCGCGCTGAAAAAATAAAACGGCATTTCTACACATATGTATATACGCCCCCGTCAGCCACTAGTAAAATAAGTGTAAAGATATATTGAAGTTCAAAATATCGCAGAAGTATTAGTTTACTTTGTAATGATTGCAATGCGTGATATTTCAATAGTTAAAACTGGATTATAAAATAATATATGTTGGTAAACGCACCCACAACACAGGAGAAAATCATAATTTTTCTTAGAAAAATATTCAGCGTGCTGTCCATTGTGAATATCAAAATAAGGGGTTGTTTGATAGAATAGAACTCATTTAAATCGTATTTTCATAAATCATATTTTTATGAAATCCTTTTTTTCATTTTCATGCTACTTAAAGCAGATATAAAGATGTAAAGTAAAAAAAATACGACAAGGGCACGGACCAAGAGTCCGAGGAGAATTAATAATACATTTACATTGAAAAAAAGTACAATAATGTGGAGGCGGATTTAACCTAGAATACGTCTTAAGCAAGTAGGTGGCGCCAAAAGAAATTATATCTCTGGGCGACATGGATACTTGGACACGTGCGTCTCGCGGCGCCCCGCCTCTGTAACCCGGCGGATGTTTGGGTCGCGAGGTAAGTGGTAGTTGCTGGGGTGGAGTCACTATTAATACAGTTTGTACCGGCAACCGTGGTCGAATGCAAAACATTGCATCGAATACTGACAGCCTAGGCACTCGCCCAGTTTGCCTTACGGATAATACGGATGTGACTTGGGGATAAATGTTGCACATCGACTTTTAGAAAGAGACGTCGAGAGCATGTATTTGTACGAAGTTTTCTTTTTCTTTTCAGACCACTCAACGAGTTTCGGTGGCACATAATTATATATGGCTCATTAGGTCTATATAATGGTTATCACCTTCCACTAACGCCCGAATAATTACACATCTGTAATGTGCAGTATTTACCAGTATATCTACAGTACAATATAGTATAATTAGATGAAGTACTTACGCGCTCGGAATATAACGTTAATCACTGCATAAGTGCCCTGCGGAAAGACACATGGCGGCTCCAGACAGCCCTCAATGTGCGCGTTGATCGGCAATAGTGCATTGACTCCACTACCTGTAAAAGTAAAACATTTGCAATAAAGTAAGAAAGAACGGTAGAAAGAAAACAAGGAAAAAAAGAAATTAAAGCAATACTAAGAGAGTATCAGATTTGGTAATGTAATGTGACGACTTGGGTAGGGGGCGCCCTAGGCGAATTAAATCTATTTAATGGTTTATTGGTGTTATAGACATAATATACCATAAGATCCTCTCTATGAGGTCTTTAATGTGATATCCATATTGCAATATTTGAAGAAAATAACGTTTTTCTCTAAAGTGTAGTTTCTGTCAGTCGCCATGTTGGTTTTTTTCAATGTCACATAGCTAAGAATATTCCGTGCTAAGAACATTTGTTTCGTTACGACGTATCTAACAATATATCATATGTGTAAATCAGTTGGGTGGTTTAGAATAAACGAGGGAGAGAAGAATATTACACTCATATAGAAAGAAAGAAAAACTATTTATTTTGCTACGACACACAATGTACATATATACTACCT